AAACTAATGTCGCATTTCGAAGACTCAGAAACTGCTCAACAATAGAAGTATGAATTCTACAACTGTCTTGTTGCGCCTGTCCTGCTGTATGGTTGTGAATCGTGGCAGACGTACAGAAAATACGAAAAAAAGTTAAATGCATTCCATATGAACAGCCTGCGTCGAATATTGAAAATATTACGGAAGGATAAAGTATCAAACATCGAGGTGTTGAAGTGCACAGAAGAATGTGACCTGATGAATTTAGTCAGATAGACAAGATTAAGATGGATGGATCACATCATAAGAAGAATGGATAACACAAGAAGTGCGAAACAAGTGATGAATTGGAAGGTGGAAGGTGAAAGTAGAAAGAGAGGACAACCAAAGCTCACGTCGAAAAATGTATTGAAAAAGAAATCAGCGAAAAACTATCAAATGGGAAGAAATGGAACATATGGCGCTGGATGGAAGAAAGTATCGTTAATGGACGGCCCAGTGTGTCAGAAGACACAGGATGGACTAAGTACTAAGTAAGTAATGGGATGGCTGAGTCACAAGTTTTGGAAATGTCTGTAAATACTTAAGCAAAAAGTTTGAATTTCTTGTTATTCTTTCTGATTCTTCTTTTTTATTACATGATAACTAAAAAACAAAACAATGGTGTTAATCAATTTCACTGAGGTTACATAGTTTCAAATGGAGTATCCGCTTTTATAAATGTTATTAACTACTAGTATTTTTAATTCATAATTCTAGTGTTAACGATGTTATCATTACTCCCTGAAGTTAGCTTTCTTACAGGCATTTAGTGTTCCTTTAAAAAGCTTAAGTATAGGGTGAAACTAAACAGGAATTACCCGCCAAAAATAAATGAACAGTAAATATTACAGTTGGAACCTCATTGTATTTATAGCTTGCTTATAAGTACAACCTTCCTATGTCTGTTGAAACACTGCATAAAAAAAAACAACAAGCAAACAAGTAAAGCAAAACTTTTCCGAAAAGAAGTAAATATAAGGATGTCAATTGCATCATCCCTACATAATAGTACAGTCAAGAACTAACATATAGCAATATATATAACTATTAAATCATAATTTAGTTGAATGTAATGATTTTTGTCAGTTAACATTCTACTACACTGTGTGCCTTTACTGTTATGTAGGGATAATGTAACTGCCATCCCTACTATCTTGTTTGTATTGTTTTTGAAGGATTGATATTACCCATCCCTACATTTAATTCCTTTTTTGAGAAATTTTCTTTACTTGTTAGCTGTGCTACTGACCAGAGTTTTCACGTAATTATATAATGCTTCTATTGTAATTTTTTTATTTAAGAAAATTGACATACAAATGTTCTTCGTAAAGCATACAACCCATATTTCCTTTATTGAAAAGCTAACTTATTTTGCCTAAACCAAAAAAAAGGGGGATTCATAAAACCCAATTTTATAATTATTCTTTTTTTCAGGATTAGTAACAATTTAATACATTCACAATAGAAAAATTAGCAAGTGAAATAAATCAGGCAAAATAAAATGTATCTAAACATCTTTAAACCGAAAGTGATTTCTAGAATTTAAAAAAAAATTACTTAGATAATTTGATCAGACTTCTTTTACGTTTCAGTAATGTCAATCGCATTATGTCAACATTTCATGTTACTCATATTGCTATTGGTAGCACTATTTGGGAAATTTTTATTTCTTTTTACTAAACATATTGCGCTGGTAATAAATGTAAGGAATTATAAAACAAAATCAATACAAAGTACGTTGTACCTATCTAATTTTTGTATTCGAACCCAGTAGTTAAATAAGACAACGATATTCTGCTTTTAACATGTTAGTCATCATAAACAACATTTCAGTTTGTTCATTTTAATTTCTCAGTGTTAAATTATATTTAGAAGTTTTAATGCTAGACATAAATAAGTCACAAAATATATGTGCTATTACAATGTAAACAATGTTGTTCAAATAGTTTTTTTTTTTGGAAAAAATAGTTCTATCTTATTTTTCACCAACTCTTGTTCCAGCAAAAGCTGGTCACGTAACCGATGCCTTTCTTTTGTTTGTTTTTATGCATTGCTATGTTCACAAAATACGGTTAGAACCTGTTTTTCAACTATACTCATATTTATACAATGATAAGAAATAACATTTTACACAGTTTTTCTTGTTGGGTTCTTAATAATCTTACTTATGAGGTTTACATTAATGTTATTTTCTTTACATATAAGCAGTTTCCGTGACCCCACCCATTCCTTTCGGAAGCTCAAGCAGACCGAGAAAATAATTTAGCTTTAATCAATGTAAATGCATTGATGTGCAAACGAAATATTACAGTAAACTCTACAATAAAATAAAAAAAAAGATTAATTTCCTCGATAAGAACCCGAAATATTTTGAGGTATAGCTAATATATTTATGTTATCCTCAAAACATATTTAAAGATCAACACAAAGATACACGCTAAATGTAACACATATATGTGTATATACCTAGCGAATTAAAGTAGAAATGTAAGCGTTGTGTGATAATATTCCTTCTACAGCTTTTGCGACAAAGCGTTGTGTGATCACTGTTTCTTGTATACTTCTAGGACTAATCGTTGTGTGATAACTTTCTTGTATAGGTTCCGCGACAAAGGTAAAATTGGCATAATGGTAAACGTTGTTTCCAGCATACTATGATTTTTTTTTTCACTCACTACTACTTTTTAAAAATAAAATAAATATTAACATATAATATAATATTGATAAGTTTCTCTTGCCTGTGAAACACCGTATTTTATAACACGAAGATCGACAACACAGATCTCTCGGTAATACCGGCAGACGAAAAATTGTTTTACATAAAGCACAACTTGGGTAGTCTAGAAAGAGGTAATGTCTATAGGGGAAAAATCGTCGTCTTTAACTTCTTTTCATTCATTTTCAGGTATAATTTTCTATCAGTGAAGGAACTGAGTTTTTCAATAAGCTAACAAACATTGTACTTACAGTTATCAAGCTTAATCGTCAAACTCTCTGGAAATTAAAAGTTCAAGTTACGCCGAGAGGTGTCACTGGTTTTATAGTTTGATCTAGCGTTATTTTCTAAGCAGTGTGAGGAAAACTTAAACATCTCTTGAAAAAAATCTACATTATTAAAATTATTTGGAAATTTTAAGTAGATACAAGCCTAGATTTTGACTTTATGTGGTCACTCTGAAGTATTAGCTTACACGATTTTAATTATAACGATACATCTGAAAAACTACGATATTAGCATAAAAATTCACTATTTATGTGTTACATTAAACAAGTGGAAAATTATTCATGAGCTCCATCTATAACTTATTAATTAATATATCAGTGATAGTAGCATCATTTCGAGACATGTTTTAGTGAATTCAAAGTGTGAAATATATATATATATATGGATATGCATAACAATACAAATAGTAAATATATGATATGACAGCACTAGACTTGTCTTTAATTTATACCGAGAATAAACGTAAAAAAATCGTCTAGGATGAGGGCCAATTATACAGAACACTGTTTATTTTTAGGATAATTTTATTTGGTTTTAAGTTATATAAATTTATGTTATATTACAACCACAGAAAATACTACTGACAAAAACTGTGAATCAGAATAATATAAACTTACATTAATAAATAAATGAGGCCTAACTTTTCTAAAGAGTCAATTAAACTTTACATTAATTACAAATTGGTGTTTTCCTTAGTCAGGCAGTTACTTCTCTAGACATTTATAAATGTTAAACAAAAGACATTAGAAAAGCAAACAAACATGTATATAGAGATGGGTAATTAATTCATTAATGTCTTTAAAAGGTACATATTTAATTAGTGAGCCAATTTTATTTTTTATGTTTATGAGTAACATTTTCGTATAAGCAAAAAACGGAATTTTATAGAAATTTGTAACATCTGCTTATAGTTGAAACCTTTATTAACAAACCAGATGCTAAAAAGTGGAACAGTAGAGGTCCAGTAACCTTATTACTACTTATGGTTTTTCACCTAAGAAGAACTTTTACTATAGTTTGTTTTATATCACAATTTTATTCAAACAGATTATCTTCATTTAGGTTATTAATTCCCAACAACCTACTTTGTAAGAGAATAAGCAAAGTAAAAATTAACAACTGATCTTAAAAGAAAAGCTGTGTTCCGGCAAACATAATAACTTGTGTTCACTTTTCATGATTAGGAACTGTCTTTCGTGCACTTATCTCAAAAAACATTATATTCATAAACATGGAACAACGTTTAACTTTGCAACAGTAGTTTTAAAATAGTAGCATTTCATTTAAGCAAACGATTTTTTGTTACTTGTGATTCTTAGTCCGTTTCTCACACCGATAACAATTGTTGACACCTTTGATGTATCTCAACAACATCTTACTTAATATTTAATTCCTACAGCCTTTATCTTTTCACTCCTGCGAAGTATATGTTATCTACAGTTTGATACAAGCCATTTTCATGGTATATTATCAGTATTGAAGAGTATTTTTCTGTATTACTTAGTGACTCAATCACAGCCAGGTTCTTCTTTAATTACCAGAAACCCCAGACATTCAAGACAGGTCAGACCATCATTGCTGGCTAAATATCTCACTCTTTTTTATTGGCTAGGTGAGTTATATCGCCCACATTCTGGTTTAAAAAAAAAAGAGAAAAAATTTAAAACCATACCATTTTAGTTACGTCATATGTTTGCCTGATAGAAGAGGTGGTCCTTTGGACTGAAAGTTATTGATTTCATTATACACAGTTATTTGTCATCTGCCCACTCAATTTAGGCGTACGTCGGATGATCTACTGGCATAAGATGTGTTTTAGTATAGATGCAGTAGAGAAAAAAAACTTTCAGTAACCTGTCTGATAAATATATAAACTGGATTAACCAATCACTAGCAAGCTTTCTGCACGCGCATAACTTTGCGACAACTTCGATCCACACCCTCCAACGACGAATCTCAGCCTCAAAAGAGGCAGTCAGCTTGTGCAACTAAAATAGTTCAAGGCCTTCTATACCTTCATACCGGTGTTGTTGGCGCAAAGAGTGAAGACAACAGGTAAGAAAGTCTGTACATTGCTTGGCTCGTGAGATTATGTTTTAAGCATGTCAGAGCATGAAATAAAAACCCTAACATGTTACAAATTATCAATTATTTAGTGACATTACTAGGTAGCTCTTCTTAAGGATATTGCATTGCTTCGCTGTTAAGATGACTTTTCAGTGTGGTAACATTAAGGAAAGTTTATTGCAAAAAAATATTGTTATTAACGTTAATAACAGTTATAAGTTTTACTATGTGTAAGGAACACTTGTATGACAAAAAATAATATTCACCTTTTTATGAAGCACAATTTCAGAAATAATAGAGCAAATCTAACAATCTAATTGCTTTCTGATTCAACTTCAAATGATACGATATACATATGTTTCGCTCAAACTAGGTTTTATATCCAGTTATGTTAAGTGTTTTCTATTGAGATATAGAAAATATATTTATAACTGTAGAAAAATGTGCTTATTTACAAAGTTTAATTTCACTAATTGTCTTGTTTCTCTTTGTTTAAATATAATCTATTTTATTTTAAACGTACATATTTCATCGTGCTTTAATACTGAAAGCTTAAAAAGCATCTTTAACAAGCTGTATCTATAAACAAGTCGGTTTATTGAAAAGAGCATTAATTACTATTATGTGGAATGTAGTTGACACGATCTTACTATTACTGACGTTAACATGGTTCTAATATTACTAACGTTGACATCATCCTAATATTACTGACGTTGACATTACCCTAATTTTTACTAACGTTGACACGATCCTAATATTACTGACGTTGACACCATCCTAATATTACTGACGTTGACATGGTCCTAATATTACTGACGTTGACACCATCCTAATATTACTGACGTTGACATGATCCTAATATTACTAACGTTGACACCATCCTAATATTACTGACGTTAACATGGTTCATGTCAACGTCAGTAATATTAGGATGGTGTCAACGTTAGTAATATTAGGATCATGTCAACGTCAGTAATATTAGGATGGTGTCAACGTCAGTAATATTAGGGTCATGTCAACGTCAGTAATATTAGGATCGTGTCAACGTCAGTAATATTAGGATCGTGTCAACGTTAGTAAAAATTAGGGTAATGTCAACGTCAGTAATATTAGGATGGTGTCAACGTTAGTAATATTAGATCCCAATATTACTAACGTTGACACCATCCTAATATCACTGACGTTGACACGGTCCTAATTTTATTAATGTTGGCACGACTCTAATATTACTGACGTTGACACGGTCCTACTATTACTGATAGAAATACTTTGCTTAGTGCAGCCGAATTATTAAGTTTTATATGGAAAAAAGTGGATATTTTTGACATATATAATAAGACACATTTTTTTTCTCATGGCTTGTTTTCGTTGTGTTCGAGTTGTTCTCCTATTATGAACATAGCAATGATATGAATAGTGCAATTTAATAATGACTCAGTACAATATTATGAATAATGATTGATCTTAACATATTTTGAGCATTTATCTTTTAATCTCAATTTGATATATATATATATATATTTCAATATGTTTTAATTGACCAAATAGATATCATCCTAAAGTGATTGTGTAAGTATATAAATATTTGAACCAGAGACATGGGTAAGTAGCTGTTTTCCTTGCCATACCGAAATAGCATTTGAATACTTTAATTTCTGCTTCATGTACAGCGTCATAACCGAGTAATGCTGCTAACATGGTAATAGCAATACATACGAAACCATAGTAACGGTTTGTTTGACAAATATATAAATGCCAGATGATGCGAATCTTAATGATACACTTCATTCTGTGTGTAGTCCAGTCCTTCAAATTTGCAAATAAGCGTAAAAGTTATAAAACTTGGAACTTAGTAACTATTTTTAGGCACTCGCTAGATAACTATTGAATTGTACATAGCATTTTTAGTGAATAAATCACTAAAATAACTTAAGACAAGTACTTGTATGATGAAAGCAAACTTAAATAGTATTAGAGGATGTCAATAAAATACGGTGCTTTATATTTGAATATTTTTGTACAGTTTACTCAAAGTGTTTATTTTTTCTTTGATCTCTTAAATCCTTAACTCCAGTCGGGTTTTCTTATCATCAAAACAACTAATAAACCAAAAACTAATAAACTCTGCTCTATTGTCGGAATTGTTCATATAACAAAGAAATAATGTTTTAATAAATAAGATTAGAAGGTAAAATAGAAACGAAATTATCATAAAGAAAGAAACATCAGTAAGTAGAAAAAATCTTCATTATTAGGTAAAAAACATAGTTTTATCAGATGAGTAATAATACCAATATGAAACTAAACAAATCTATAGTTTAAGAGCCAGTCTCATAACTTTAATAAGGAAACTAAAAATGTTACTTAAAGCTTGCACTTATGACAGGATTTATGTTACTAAATTCTGTTGATTCTATCCAGGTTTCAAGAATAAATAGCAATATATTAATACGAAGTAAACTTTAAAATTAGACAGAATTTATCCACAAGTTGAAATTAAATATATTTTCATGTTTATTTTTAGAACTAGTTTTCATTTCAAAGATATCATTCTGAAAGATAATACGTCAGTTGTTAACTACAGATTTGTGTACGTTCTTGACGATATAATTGTTGCAAGCATCTCGCATACGTCAAAAGGATTGTTGGAGGGACTGCAAGATGCCATTAAGAGCCTTTCCCACTGAACTGTACATGTAGGTGACGGGTGTCCATCCAACTAGATAAATATTGCTAAATTTGATCTACCAAATCACAAACAAACACTTCTTTCTGCATGTACAGACAGGTAAGTTACACATAGGAACTCTATCACTTTTTTAGGTACTGTTAGGACCGCATAATGGCAGTGTCTGCACATACTGATCATCTGAGAAAAAAGTCACAATGCTCTTAAAGAAGATAAATAAACTAAATATCTAACAATGCAAAAAATACTTATGTGTTTCTAAACTATGTTGATGGGCGTGTCAACAGAAAAAAATAATAATTCCTTATACTTCTTTTTTCTGGAATAACTAACAAATTTACACAATCGGGACGTCTTTAAATTAACGAATGTTTTTAAAAGAATTATTAAAGTAAACTCGTGTGTGTATCACATAATTTCACACATAACTATGCACTGTAGATTCCTTGGTATTTTAATAAGCGAACATATGCGTAATGACAATTCACCTTATTTCATTATGCCTAGAAATAAAAGAAAAATTGGAAGGTCATCATAATTTTTTAAAACTAAAAAGATAATCATAAAAGATTTCCCTTGACATACTCAGTGTATTATGTATGTGTGTGTGTGTTTGTTTATTTGAAGTTAAGCACAAAGCTACACAATGGGCTATCTGTACTCTGTCTACCACGAGTATCGAAACCCAGTTTCTAGCGTTGTAAGTCCGCTGTGCCACTGGGGGGCGTGTGTGTGTGTGAGAGAGAGAGAAAGACATTTTATTTAATTAACAGCTCTTCAATGCTACTATTAATCTAATTCAGAAAAGACTGTGAAATTTATGCCAGTTCCATTAACTTTCGAGAAACGAACTTACTTGAGTAGTTTTAAATCAAAGAATATCATGTTGTTGTTGATCAATAATTATCTTTTTTTTATGCAATGCTAAGAAGCTATTTTTTTTGCTTTCAGTAAAAAGACTAAGAAACTTGTTGAATAATGTATTCGATATGTAGGTTTGTTTCAGTACAATAAGAAAATAAGTTACGAGAGAAATATTCTGACATTTGTTTTTCAACATTTTATCTCCCATCTTGTAAATGAGCTGTTAGATGTTATTCAGAACTACAGCTGTAACAAATAAGTAACTAAACAATGAATGTTCTCCGACACTTCATGTCACCAAACATGCTCGCTCTTTCAGCCGTGAGAACGTTATAACGTGAGGGTTAATCCCACTATTCGTTAGTAAAGAGAAACCCAAGTGTTGGCGGTGGGACTGATTAACTAGCTGCCTTCCCTCTAGTCTATCGCTTCAAAATTAGAGACAGCTAGAGCAGATAGCCCTCGAATAGCTTTGCGTGAAATTCAACAAACAAACAACCACACGATGACACATTTACCTTTATCTCACGATGTTCTCCTATCACTGGGCAAAGTTTATGATGTACACAGAATGTACTATAATAACGTGTAAATAATGTGTAAAAGGAAACACTCTTTTAGTAAAAGGAATAATAAGGCATTATAGACACTATATTCATAACAAATTCATATCATGCCTTCAGTCTAGGCATGTTTTCTAGGAATGAGATTGATGTTCAGTTCTACAGAAAGAAAGACAATCACGTCCAGTTTATATATTTAGTGAGATTAAGAAGTTACAATCCAACAACATGAACCTGTACTAGAATAAAGACAAGAATACAGAAATTGCAATAGCATTTATTAATATTCCCACAGAATCCGCGTAAGGGTTTTAAGAAAATATTTTATAATCTTACATACACATGTATGTCATTATTTTCTTAAACTAGCTCGTATTCAACCCCCCTTTTTTTTTTGTAAATCCACGGACTGAAAACACGTGAATGGCAAATAGATACAGTTGTTCACTAAGCCTCACAAGCCAGATTTAATTCTAAGGTTATCATTACGGCCTAAAAAAATAGTTTTTATCTTATCTTAAGAACTAGGCCTGAAAAACGCTAATTTTCTATTTCATATATCATAATTACTTCTTAAGAGTTATTTTTCAACCAAATTTTCCTAACTATGCTTAAAAAGTTAGTTTTAAATTTAAACCTGCTAATGAGGCCTTAAAAACGTCTTTAGTTTTAAGTTGTTTCAGTACTTATAAGTTTATAAATGTGATACATAAATTTAATTCAAAAGAAAATATTTTAGTTTTATGTCTATTTCAATTAACTTGAATCGTCACGAATATTTGCAATGGCTCTTAAGAATTTTGTATTTATTGTGTGTTCAGTGCCTTAATTCTATTTATTGTTTATGATATTTATATTGCTATATGTCATTATACAAAACTAGTCAACCTTACTTGTGGTCTGCCATTCTAGTAATTTCCAACTTATTATGGAGTAAATATTTGATCTTACCGTATAAGTTGAAAAGAAACAGGTAGTTGTTTGAAATAATAAATAGTAAATTTAAAACATTAGGCTTATCAAAGTCAACTCATTAGATAAAGATATATGTAACCGTAGTTTTGAAAATTACATTTATGAAAGATCAAAGTAAAATGTTGTTATTTTTCAAAGTACACGTTAAATCAGAAAATTTAGTTCCATCTTATACCTGCCGGCTATATATTGTATCATATTTAATAAATTTGTATTTCAGGATTAGAACTTACACTGAAACACTTACAAAGAGCTTACATTGTAGAGCTAACTCCCTATATTCTACCCTTTTAAAATCGGTGTAACTCTAATTGCTCAGAAAAAAACAGAACTTTAGCCCAAGTTATATATCAGAGTGTATTACTATAACATTATATATCAGTATGTTACTACTACATCTTGTATTTGAAACTTTATTTTTACCACTTCGATATTTTCAAATTAAATTACTATTGATATTACTACCGATATTTTCTCAAAAGCCATTTTTAATAATTATTTACAATACAACCCTGGGTTTATATTTTCCTTTGTATTGTCCAAGTAGTTTATAATATATTATAAACCACATGTTTCCATGAGATTCCTTAAGTTGTAGAGGCAAGACGTTGCCTACTGGTTAAAATGTTGTGTTGTGAATCGAAGGGTCTAAAATTTGAGACATGATGTAACTGAACTCTTTCAGCTGTCAATCCATTATAAGGTTTAAAGAGCTGGACAAAACTCTTGTGGCGACGGCTGTTGCTGACTGGCTGTCTTCTCTCTCGTAAGTCCACCGGTGGTCAGGTGTAAGTTTCAGCTGTCAATCCGTTATAAGGTTTAAAGAACTAGACAAAACCCTTGTGGCGACGGGTGCTGCTGACTGGCTGCCTTCCCTCTGGTAAGTGGTCAGATGTAAGTTTACAAATTTACGACACTAAAGTCTGAGGTTCGATTTTTTGTGATGAAAAGGTCGCAAATAGCCCACTGTGTGAGATTTGGGTTTAAAAATCAACAATTTCTGTCCCCGGTGAGTTAACGGTAAGGTTGCGGGATTACAATGATAAAATCAGGGGTTCGTTCCTCCTCGGTGGATAGAGCGCGCATAGTCCATTGTGTGGGTTTGGGTTAAAAACAACCACCGTCTCCTAGTAGCTTACAGACTTACAGTGATAAAATCCGGGGCTCGTTTCCCCGAGATGGACAGATCGCAGATAACAACAGTAACAAAAACTCTCCGATCATTAGTTTAGAATTACGGACGTCTATATCTGAACTTTAGAGGTCTCCGTCTTAAAAGTGTAGCTCGCGCGCGCCTAAGTTGACGTTCAAGCTGAAAATTCAATTGTTGCAGTTGCTTTACAGCAAATATTTGATACCTGTTTAAATAAGATTTGAATTGTACAGATCCTTAAGTGTTATTTTAGTTTCTATCTTACTTTCAATGGAAGATCCTAATTATAGATCATAAAGCTGCTCAACTAAACTTACGTGTCATAGAATTGTTTTTAGACTTACTGTACCACCAGGCAAAACGGTTTTTCATATCATTTCGGAGATAAACAGATAATATAGTAAGTTTGCCAACCAGGTGAAGCTCAATATTAAGACATAGGCTTTAGCTAAGATTAGAAGAAAATATCCCAGAATTTCGAAGAATAAGCTTAAACAAGTAATTACCAAAGACGTTTATAGTTATATTTTCCGAAAGGAATCGTATTTTATAGAAGTTATAAGCCATTTAACTAAAAATCACCTTTCAGTTTTTATGAACCGACTAACACTTCTCAAGTAAGATGGTTTTCCAAACGAAACTACTAGAATGTGCAACCCGTGCCTCTTAAAACCTTATAAAAATTCAAATTTTAGTTTTTGCTATTTCTGAACAAAAAAGTATTTATTAATATAGCTTGTCTCAACACGATGAAGTAACTAGAATTTAACTAATCCCATATTAATGGTTAACTGATTTTTAGACTTTCCATAAAATGCGTTTTTTAGTTAACTGTTTATCCTGCTTTCCGATGGATTACACTAAAAATATAAATAATCAGAAATATGCATATATATAGTTAGTCTTTGGCTACAATCCCAAAATTATGCTCTAATTTGGTAAAAAGTGTGATTATTAACATAAACAGCTTATTCCCAAATGTATGCTAAGGAATACCGTAAGATTACAACTTGTTTATGTTGATACAAAGATATACCCCTTCATACTTTGTTTTCCTTATGCACATTTTTTTCTTTGAAAACGTATCGCCCTTTGGGTAAATGCTTGAAATGATGTTAACCGACCTATTTCCATCAAGTAGGATTTAGTTTTCTTTAATCATGATATTTGTAAAATAACTATAAAAATTAACTTATTTAGTTTCTTAAGTAATGGAAATTACAATTTCATACAACAGACATAGCAAATAACGTAGTTAGTAGTAATAATAATATATCTCCACATGAAACGGGTTTCCTCCAAGTCCACAAAGAACATTTAAGTCTTGCCTAGAACACATACAAAAATATACTATAAATAATCAACGGGAGGATATGCATAAAGTAAGGCTTTGTTTTAGTATGCATAACTCTCTTATTTTTATCCTAAGTTACCAATGTCTCACGTGCTATTTAAGTTTTACACTCTGTGCAGCATTACGTCCGTTACTAATATGGATAGTTTTTGAGTGTTATAATGATGTCTTATATAACTGGTACTAAAATAAAAGAACAGAATATGACAGTTTTATCAATTTATTGTGAAGCATATTACATATAAGGCAAAGTCGACTATCTACACATTTGTGTGTATAACTATTAAGATGGATTTAAAACTAAAATTTTTCTCACTTTAAGCTTTTCTGAAACTAAAGAACCTACTTCATTATTATATTTCATTTAAAGAATCGGTTCATTTAAATAAGGCTGTTTGTGTGTGCCTATTTAATTTACTATATATTCTTAAAAAGAAGTAGAGTACCTTTAAACTGGGATAAAAGTATTAGTACAGTCCAGCGCAAGTAAATATCATAAACATTAATTTGCTCAACAGAAATGTTGTTTTTTGAAATATTTTTCCATAGAAAGGTGAAATATAATCCCAGAATCCAAATATCAGCACAAGATGCACGCACTTATAATATCTTTGTTTTTACAGTGTCTAACGCCGCTAATATAAGTGTTGAAACATGTTTTACACGTCTTACGTATAGGTTTTGTATACAGAATTAGTTCATCTAAAGAGTTCCCACGCAACCCAGTGAATTGTCCGTATTACTGCTAATAGTCTGCACATTTCATATTGTTTTCTTCTACTTGTTATGAATAATTAACTTCAAATAACTTTTTTTTGAACCGCGACCTTTAAAGTTCCATCCAAATATATATTTGTTTTAGTTGTGACAAAATTAGTACATTTTTATCTCACAGAAAAATTTATATTCTATGTCAAGGATTTCGTATGCAAATGAGCTATTGGTCAAATCGTACATACACTTTTCACAAGTTCAAATACATTTGTTAATAATTTAACATTTTGCTAACCAAAACAACGTGCTAGTAACACATTATTAGTACACATTCTAATCAAAACAGCGTACTAGTAACACTTTATTGTTACACATTCTAACCAAAACAACGCTCTAGTAACATATTATTAGTACACATTCTAACCAAAACAACGTGCTAGTAACACTTTATTAGTACACATTCTAACCAAAACTACGTGACATTAACGCTTTATTAGTACACACTCTAACCTAAACAACATGCTAGTAACACTTTATTGGTATACCCTCTAACCAACACTTTATTAGTACACACTCTAACCTAAACAACATGCTAGTAACACTTTATTGGTATACCCTCTAACCAACACTTTATTAGTACACATTCTATCCAAAACCACATGCTAGTAACACTCTATTAGTAACATTCTAAGTGAAACAACATGCAAGTAACGCTTGACAAGTTAAAAATGTACACGTATTTCTCTTTTCCAACTGAATAACACAAAATATCGTTGTTAATAGATAGAATATTATTAATAAATGCAGTTTCCCAGAAACATTCTAACCAAAACTACGTGAAATACTAATAAAGTGTTGGTTAGACAATATACCAATAAAGTGTTACTAGCATGTTGTTTAGGTTAGAATGTGTACTAATAAAGTGTTACTGTCGTGTTAGTTTTGGTTAGAAGGTGTACTAATAAAGTGTTGGTTAGAGGGTATACCAATAAAGTGTTACTAGCATGTTGTTTAGGTTAGAGTGTGTACTAATAAAGTGTTACTGTCACGTAGTTTTGGTTAGAAGGTATACTAATAAAGTGTTGGTTAGACAATATACCAATAAAGTGTTACTAGCATGTTGTTTAGGTTAGAGTGTGTACTAATAAAGCGTTACTGTCATGTAGTTTTGGTTAGAATGTGTACTAATAAAGTGTTGGTTAGAGGGTATACCAATAAAGTGTTACTAGCATGTTGTTTAGGTTAGAGTGTGTACTAATAAAGTGTTACTGTCACGTAGTTTTGGTTAGAAGGTGTACTAATAAAGTGTTGGTTAGAGGGTATACCAATAAAGTGTTACTAGCATGTTGTTTAGGTTAGAATGTGTACTAATAATGTGTTACTAGCACGTTGTTTTGGTTAGCATGTGTACCAACAAAGCATTACTAGCATTAGAATGTGTACTACCAAAGTGATACTAGCATGTTGTTTTGGTTAGAATGTGTATAAATAAATTGTTACTAGCATGTTGTTTTGGTTAGAATGTGTTTAAGTAAATTGTTACTAGCATGTTGTTTTGGTTAGAATGTGTACTAATATAGTGTTACTATGATTTTTTGGGGGGGTTAAAATGTGTACTAGTATAATGTTACTATGATCTTGTTTTGTTCAGAATGTGTGCTAATATTTGATACTTGGAAGGTAGAGAATGTTAAACAAAGCAATTCTATTTCACGGGTTCTCGGTCTCAATAACGGAGTCATCAACAGACGTATTCACGTAGAGCGTACAGAGTGCTCAACATGATCGTAAAACAATAGACCTGGATGAATTTTAGTGAGCTATCTGATTATTCAGTGCTAATAATATTGATGTTAGGTCATTTTATACCCCTTTTTGAAACTCAAATGGCTCTAACGTTTACATTTCTCACACAAATCATCCTTTTCAAATTATAACTTTCCTTACCACTTAGTCAAGGTAAAACTTCCATTATTACAGTGATCAGACAAGGGTGTGATTCTATAATTAATTTTCAAAATTTTGAATCATTTAACAGGAAAATTTTAAGCCACATTTGAATTTAAAGCATAAATTTTGTTAGGAGTATGGATTAAAAAATTTACAACAATTATAAAATATATGACGTTTAAATGATTTCATGATAATAATCAACAAAATACATTTCTGTAATTACTTAGAATGATTGATTATACTGATATAATGAATAATATGCTTTAAAACATGCAATTATAGCATGATCAAAGTCATGAGAATATGAAAGTGCTATGTCTTTAAAAATTACTGCCATGACAGTTTAACATAAAAATAAATAACGAACTCAGATGCGTTTCCAGGTCTGGATCCTATTTTCCGTTTTGTTTCTGTTTCTTATAAACAAACTGAAAATCCCTTAAATATCTTAGTCTTTGTAATATGTTTATTTCATAATTTTCTTAGCATTTAAATTTGATGAATCTAGCTTTTATACCTTATTTTTACAAGTTAAAACAGTTTTTTTCACTAGCACTGTTTAATATAACTCTGGATTTTGTGAACAATATTACTAATCTGTACCTGTTGATGAAATTATATATAAAGTTATCCGTGTCTCTGTCAAACCTTGGTCTTGTTTAATTGAATGTGTTAGTGCCAGTTCGTGTCTCTTGCGCCTCTGAAA